GTCAATGTTTGTCTGTTATCTGGGAAATGAGATGATGTTTTTCCTTTTGCAAAAAAAAAAAAAAAGAAAGAAAGAAAGAAAAAGAAAAAAAAAGAAAAGAAAAAAAAGAAATTAAAAAAAATTAAAAATAAAACAAATAAAAACTCACCCATTAAAACAATTCTTCTGAAGAATAATATAAATCGTGGTCATGTGTCTTATGAAAAGGAGGCAGGTAACTGACCCTGTGGTCATCAGGAGACAGTGAATGAACTTGAGTTTTGGTCCAGGCTGGTCCACAGATTATCTGGATAATCCTGAACAATGTTATTCTCTTCCCTCATTTGTGAAGCAAAGATTTAGATTTAATAAATGTAGATGTGACTTCTGGGTCCTGAAATTCTTTTAGTCTATGAATACAAGGCAGATTATCTGCAAATAGCCCTGGGGTTGCATAAACAGCTACCGAACTGTAACAGCAGAGGAGCCTCAGTCTCACCCACAGGTGTGGGGTTTTATCTGCACAAGACAGTGTGCAGCAGGTGGGGACCTTTGTGCTATCAAGAAAAACAGTGAAGATGGCCCAGTAGTTATTTTCTGAGGAAAAATGGAGAATCATATGTCACCTTTGAATCAGGGTTTGCATTTTGAAAATTGCTTTTTAATTTCATCTAATGGTTGGGAGAAAAGGCCCATGAAGAAGATTTTTGAAAGCTCATTTTGAAAATGTTCAATTACACCAATGCATCCATGGTTTCTTGGAAAATCCCTTTTTCTTGAAAGCAATTTTTTGGAAAATGCTTAACGTCTATCCTAAGTGGTCCCACTGGAAGTGGGTAGGAGAGAAACCTGATGTTTAGTCCCTGAGCATTTTTTTCCCTAAACTTTAAACACCTCCCTTTGGACCACAGTTTCTTCACATTTTCAGCTTTCTCTCTAAATACAGATAAACACATACACACACTTCTGGAGGAGAGAGTGATGGATTTAGCATTGTGCAGACTCACTGTCAGAAGGCTGAGATGCTAGTGGAACCTGAAATTGAACGATAACATAGATTTGCTTATTGGAAGCATGCAGGAGGGGTGGAACAGATGGTATTTCCTTTCCTTCCTTCCCTGCCATGTGTTCTGTGTGATGTCGAGCCAGCCTCCAGGAGGCTGTAGATCCAAGGCTCTGTGATCCTTCACCCCCTCATTCCCCTCCACTTCATCTTCTACTGCTCATCTGGCCCATTGTAAGCCTTTAGTGCAAAAAAAGCTATCTGTGATACCAATTCTTGGGCAGGTTTCATGGTACAAAAATGAGATCCCAGAAATAAGATTGTTAAAATAGTTGTTCTCAATTACAGCAAGATATTACCAGCAATTCATATACCACTTTCTGTTCTCATTTTGGGCTTTATACTTGACAAAAAGTTGGGTTTTTTTCCCTCATCTATTCTAATTCCATCTTTAAAATGATTCTATAGATGTATTTGGCAGAGATGATTCTTTATTTTACAGACAATGAAAATAAAGTTGAATTCACTTGAATCTATTAAATTGAATCATTGAGTCAAAAGAAGAAACAAATCTAGGAACCAGGATCTCCTAGTTCTAGACACCCAGATACTTTCCACTACCCCAGGCTATTCCAAATCATAAAATAAAATAAAACAAAACCTAATGATTGTTTTCAGGTATGCTGGGTCATTTATCTTCTGCTTTAAGAATTGGAACCCTGTCTAAAATCATACCCACTTTTAGATTTAGGATGTTTATATTGTAAACACTTTTGAGAAGAGTCATGTTCCAGTCTCTTTTAGATGAGGTTATCAGGTTATTCACTTGACTTAGAGATGGCAGAGAGAACTATGTCTCTGCTCTAGATGGAGAGGGACGCCATCTTTCTTCCTTTCTAATTTGAAGATTTCCCACTCTTATCCTATTTTGAGCAAGGAGTTGAAGTTCAGATAGTTTCTCTCAAAGCCACTGTTGAAATGCATAGAGTGTGTGAGGGGGTGCACCCTAAAACAATAAATGCCTTTCCCTTGGCATAGATTGTGTTTCACGTATTTACTTATTTCTGAAATGGAACCATTAACCTCAGAGGCTGAGACACAGGGCAAGCCGTTTTCAGAGGAGGAAGCGTGACAGCTTTGCCACCGTTGGGCCCTGGAAGCTGAGTCCTCCCTAAGGCCAGTGCCTTGTGAAGGAGGGAAGGGCAGAGGGTTGGAGGAGATGGCAAAGATCACTTGTCTGAAAGTTTAGATAGTGAGTACCAGTTTTAGCAGCTGGGCTCTATGCTTGGTGAACATTTCCTAAACTTCCCCGTTTCTTTATTTGTTTACATCTTTATATTTCTGATAGGTCTATGAGCTAAAAAATTATACTCCAGGGTTGTTTCTTGAGTGATGTGTGACTTGAGATGACTTGAAATTTCTACACAAGTATAGTTGATACTGCTGCAATATAGTATATGTATTTATAAACACAAGTGTTTAATTGTACAATAAAAAATCTTATAAGAAAGGGCTTATGGCATGACAGATGCAATTCCACAGCATGTACAATCAGAAAAAATGAGAAAGTATATCCCATTTATGTATGATATATCAAAGTGCATAAGTGCAGTTTACTGTCATGTATAACTAATTAAAACAAATTAAAAAAAATTAAAAAAAGAAAGGGATTAAGGTAAAATAGGGTTAGGAGCACCATACTCAAAAGGCATCGATGACACATAGAATATAAGAACCTAATAAAATGATAGCAGGGTTGTAGGCATATTAAACATTTTAGAAATACATAAATGCTGTAATAAATAGGTTTCTTTGCCTTTAAAAGATTCACAGTTTTCTTGTGGATTTGGGTGTCAGAAGGGCTTGCGTTTTTGCAAAGTGATAGAAAGGTGTTTTTATGAAATGGAATGATAGTTATAACTACAGATGTCAATGAGGGAAGCTCATAACACAGTAGTGAATTTTAAATTCTGTTTTTATATTTGATAACTGTGTGTGTGTGTATGTGTGTGTGTGTGTGTGTGTGTGTGTGTGTGTGTGTTTGGAATATACATCTAAGGTTCATTTTTCTGTATTTATCTGATATTTTCTGATGATAAGAGTCAGAAGTAAATTGCAACATCCACATATGTTTAAATTGTTTCCTAATATATAAATAAAGTAAAAATGTGTTTTCAAGCAAGTGCTTTGAGGTGAGCAATCATCACCTAACATTTGTGTCTTATACCAGGAGTGAAGCAGTCACATGCTTTGCTTTCTGTTCACAGAGTGACCAAAACTACAGAGATACCAAAGTAGTGACATCTATGTTCTTTCTCCAGTGAGGATCTGGTGTTGTCTCATATTAGTCAAATACCTCAAAATATTTTTCAAACATTTCTGTTTGGAGAGAACTCAAAATACACTTTGCCAGTTGATTTTTTTAGCACTCTTAACAAACAAGAAATTAGTTCTTATGCTTCTAATTAATTTTTCCTGCAATTAGCTGAAATGCAGGTCTCTAAGAATTTGTTAGATAATCAAGCATGAGCCAATGTGAATGTATCAAACCAAAGTTTCCTAAGAAGTTTACCTGCAAACTGAACAGCACATTTTGATTTTGTTTTGAATGAGGTATGTCTAGGTCTCATGAAGTCATTTCTTAATGTTCTGCAGAATCAATTTTTTACAACATGGAAAAAAAAGGAAAAGAATGTTGGTACTGTGAGGCTGATGATTGATTGATTGATTGATCCTTTCTTCTCTTCCTTTCTTCCTTCATCATTCACCATACCATCCTTTACAAAAACTTTTCTTCAGGACATATTATGTTGCAGATTCTTTGCCAGGAGCCCACAAAGAGTGTGCTACCTAGTGGAAGATAAAAACAAAATAAGGAATTATTATATAAGACTAAGATGATCTATTGTTCTAGCCACTTTTGTGCTGTTCTAACAGAATACCTAAAACTAGGTAATTTATAATGAATAGACATGTATTGGTTTACATTTCTGGAAACTAGAAAGTCATATATAAAGGTTCTAGTATCTAACAAGAGCTAATTGCCTTGTGATCACATGGTAGAAGGCAAGAGTGTAGGAGACCACATTCCCAAAAGCCCTTTTTTAAGGCATAAAACCCACCAGTGAGAACAGAGTCTTCACAGCTTAATTATCTTTTGAAGTTCTCTCTTGTTTACATTGCTAGAATGGCAATTCAATCCCAATATGAGTTTTAGAGGGTACAACATTGTAACCAAAGTGTCAATATGCTAAGAGTGAAGGACAGGGTCCTCTATATGAAATTGGATGGTCATGGCATTCATATCAATCTAGAGGGACATATAAGGAGTCAGTACCATGTCTATGCCTGAGCCTCCACCTGTCTCATATTTGGATTTTATCAAAGAAGCCTTAGAAAACATGCATATCACATTTAGAATAGTTGGGATGGTAGCTATTGAAGTGAATATCAAATTTAAGACTGTAAGAAAAAGCCTCTGAGACTATTCTCTAATGCTGTATACACTATAAATGAGCTAAGATGAGTAACTTATTTTCCAGTGGTGTTCACAAAGCAGAGAGTTAGCAATTCGAAACAATCTTATACCTCTAGATACAATTACTATAGGAGAACTTGAAGACCAGAAAATAAACATTTGCATCTATAATGGTCTCCCTTTCTATAGAATAAGTACAAGTGTAATTAATCAATGCTTTGCTCAAATGGTCAATTAAAGGAATGCATGGATAGCTGGGCTTTTGAGTCAGACCCACCTAGGTGGATGAAACACTCCTACGTGAGTCTTGGGACCACAGACAACCTACAAGAAACCCTGAGCTTCATTGTCACCATCTGTGAAAGAAAATCACACCTGTCCTTCAGACTTCTTGTGAGGAGTAGATGCAATAACACAAGGAAGGAAGTGGGGCCTGACTTTATGCAGAGAAAGTGATTAATAAATGATGGTCCTTAATGTCATGATTGCCCTCTTCATGGGAAATCTAATCTCTTTTTCTCTCTCTTCCTGTCATTCTAGACAACTGTGATGACCCATTAGCATCCCTGCTGTCTCCAATGGCTTTTTCCAGCTCCTCAGATCTCACTGGCACCCCCAGTGCAGCTCAGCTCAACTGGAGAGTTGGTAAGTAGAAGGAACAAAAATCCCCACGCCAAGTGCCAAATGAGAATACCACGAACACAGGAGAAAAAGTGATCATTTCATATACTGGGTTCATGTCCAAAGGCTTGTTCAGAAGATGTTGAAGGACAAGGGTTAAAATTTAACAGAATCATACTTCCCATTACATAACAGAAATCCAGAGAATGCCTTTTTTTTACTAAGTATTTTTTCATGCTATTGCAAATGGGACTTTTTAAAAAAAATAGTTTGTTGTTAATGACTACAAATGCAACTGATTTTGTATGTTGATTTTGTATCCTACACCTTTACTAAATTTGTTTATGCATTTTAGTTTATTTTTTTATTGGTTGTTCACAACATTGCAAAGCTCTTGACGTATCATATTTCATACATTAGATTGAAGTGGGTTATGAACTCCCAATTTTTACCCCAAATGCAGATTGCAGAATCACGTCGGTTACACATCCACAATTTTACATAATGCCCTATTAGTAATTGTTGTATTCTGCTACCTTTCCTATCCCCTACTATCTCCCCTCCCCTTCCCTCAAATCTTCTCTCTCTACCCCATCTACTGTAATTCATTTCTCTCCTTGTTTATTTTCCCATTCCCCTCACAACCTCTTATATGTGATTTTGTATAGCAATGAGGGTCTCCCTTAATTTCCATGAAATTTCTCTTTTCTCTCCCTTTCCCTCCCATCTCATGTCTCTGTTTAATGTTAATCTTTTCTTCCTGCTCTTCCTCCCTGCTCTGTTCATAGTTGCTCTCATTATATCAAAGAAGACATTTGGTATTTGTTGTTTAGGGATTGGCCTGCTTCACTAAGCATAATCTTCTCTAATGCCATCCATTTCCCTGCAAATTCTATGATTTTGTCATTTTTTAGTGCTGCATAATACTCCATGGTGTATAAATGCCACATTTTTTTTATCCATTCATCTATTGAAGGGCATCTGGGTTGGTTTCACAGTGTAGCTATTGTGAATCGTGCTGCTATGAACATCTATGTGGCAGTATCCCTGTAGTATGCTCTTTTAAGGTCTTCAGGGAATAGTCCGAGAAGGGCAATAGCTGGGTCAAATGGTGGTTCCATTCCCAGCTTTCCCAGGAATCTCCATACTGCTTTCCAAATTGGCCGCACCAATTTGCAGTCCCACCAGCAATGTACAGGTGTACCTTTTCTCCACATCCTCGCCAGCACTTGTTGTTGTTTGACTTCATATTGGCTGCCAATCTTACTGGAGTGAGATGGTATCTTAGGGTGGTTTTGATTTGCATTTCTCTGACTGCTAGAGATGGTGAGCATTTTTTCATGTACTTGTTGATTGTATGTCCTCCTCTGAGAAGTGTCTATTCAGGTCCTTGGCCCATTTGTTGATTGGGTTATTTGTTATCTTATTGTCTAATTTTTTGAGCTCTTTGTATACTCTGGATATTAGGACTCTATCTGAAGTGTGAGGAGTAAAAATCTGTTCCCATGATGTAGGCTCCCTATTTACCTCTCTTGTTGTTTCTCTTGCTGAGAAAAAAAATTTTTAGTTTAAGTAAGTCCCATTTGTTGATTCTTGTTATTAAGAAGCCTTTTCAAAAGTGACTTTTAAAAGGAATTTGCTTTATTTTTATACTTTGTGTATCTAACATAAATAACTACCCAAACATGTTATTATAACAAGTTTATAGAATAATGAAGTTTATTTAAAATTCCCAACTTTAATTTTACTATAAAACTAATATTGCTATCTTTAAGAGTATTCAAAATACCATTAAAATTCAAAGTAAGAATTCAATCTATAATCTTAGTAGTAGGAGATAACTGTGGTTAAGTACCTAGTATGTAACTCTACAAATGCTGACAGAAGTCAGGGTAGACACTCTGAACTAGTCTCTGATGTAAAATGCCCTTAACAAATGCGATATTGGATGTCTGGACATTACTATAGGAGAACTTGAAGACCATAAAATAATCATTTACATCTATAATAGTCTCCCTTTCTATAGAATAATACTTTAATGATATATGGGTGTTGATTTTTATAATGTATATGAGAGATATAAAGATATAAAAGGTGATATTTGAATTACTTTAGGTATAAAGACTAATTATCTGATAACATTTGAATACCTGATTAAAGTTATAAACTTTCTCCTAGGTGAAGAAAAAAATGTATGAAATTTCAAAAGACCCTTTTAGGGTCTATTTTAGAGTTCATATTAATTTCTCTTGACCATTATTTCATTGGTATGTTGGCCCAACCACATTAGTAAATTTTTCATTGTTGAATCATCATTGCATTCTGGAATACATTTTAATAAGTGATTTTGTAATTTTTAAGTGTGTATTTTTAAGTAATGAAAGATTTAATTTGTGAAAGCTTTCATTTATATTTCATTTTTGAATATAATGAGACCAGTAATTTAAAAGCCAGCAAGGGTCAAAATTTATTTGAGAAAGCCATTTAAGAATACAGACAATCTTTCATATTTGAACACTCAAAAATATTTATTAAAAACTGCTTATGTGCTGAACATGTACAGACTTTCTTTTCTTGTCCTTATTCTGTAAACATTGAAGGATAACAAGAATTTACCTGGCACTTTACAACATCCTAGGTATTGTAAAGATCAAAGAGATATTATAAATCATCAAAGAGATGATTTAAGGTATATATGCAAAAATGTGTTTATGTTGTATGCAAATACTACATAATTTTATATCACAGACTTGAGCATTCATGGAATTTGGTACCAGAGGAGGACCATGAACCAAACCACTATAGATTCCAAGGGATGATTGCATTATTCTAAAAGCAAAAGAATGTCCAATTAGAGAGATAACAGAAAAATATTAATAAAATTTTATAATAACACTGACCTTTGATGATTATTCTGTGCTATAAATTTTATGAATAATTTTACCAATATCATGATAGAGGTAACAAAGTTGTTTTAGAATAAGCAATGTAACCTTTTACTTCAAGTAGGGTCCCTGAGGCTAAGAGAAGTTGCATGATTTACTCCAAATCACACAGCTACGAAAGAAAATACTTGGATTCAAACCTAATTAATCTGAATCTAAGTCTCATTTTCACAATCAGCACATTATCAAATTGATTCACAGGTACAGATTAAAGAGGGTGAAGTAGAAAGAAGAAAGAGATTTTATTCTCTTTTATTGCTGAGTAATATTCCATTGTGTATATATGCCACATTTTTTTTTATCCATTCATCTATTGAAGGGCATCTAGGTTGGTTCCACAATTTAGCTATTGTGAATTGTGCTGCTATAAACATTGATGTGGCTGTGTCCCTGTAGTATGCTGTTTTTAAGTCCTTTGGGTATAGACTGGGGAGAGAGATATTTGTCTCAAATGGTGGTTCCCTGCTGTTATATATAAATAATGAAAAAAATATCCAACCAGAAAAAAAAGAAAAAAGAGAAACTAATCCACTACAGTTCAGACTGTAACACTTATAAAAGTTACAAGTTACTTTGAGTTACTTCAAGTCACTTACCTGCTGTTGATCTCAGCTTTTTATCTGTGAAGTAGGCTCAGAATGACTGCCTTGTAGCATTATGTGTAGAAAGAAACCAGACTTGTATAACCAAAAAAGTCTTTCCCACTGCAGGACAGAGAACTGGAGTAGAGCAAGGAGGTCCACTGTTCTTTCAGGAAGAAGCAGTTGGGGAAACTCAGAGTTTCCAACAGGGCTTGCTGGGATAGTTTGTCTCAATTCCATTCAACCCCTGGGCATTTCCTGAGAAACTATGGGTCTGGTCATAGCTCTTTCCTTATTGGAGTGGTAGTGACTAGGAACAAGTGTCTTCACTGCAATAGATAATAACCCTGCTCCAGTTCATAGGGAGGCTGGATGCCTCAGCCCAAGGCCACTATGTCTGTGTGAATAGGGAAATTCCACTTCTCTCCTCTCTCTTAACAGTCTAAATCCTGAAAGTTGAATAAATTCAGTCCTACTGTTGGGATGCATTGACTTCATCTTCCAACATGGAATTCCCTTCCTTCTGTGGGGCCCAACCTTCCCTTCACAGCACCATTGAATCATCTGGAGAGCTTTACAGGGAGCATTGCTGAGCCTATATCCCAAATATCTGAATTAATTGGGATGAGATTCAAGCAAAGATGCCAATCAAGTGAATAAATAAATGCTTTCGGAGTGATTCTAGAATACAATGATAGTGGCAAACCACTACATAGGATGAATTCATGGGTAACAAACCCTTCTGTGACTGTTTACTGAGCACCTTCAGTTTGTTAGTCATCATGCAAAAATTGGCAAGAATAGGTACAAACACTATCAGTAAAGAGTTGACATAGATAAAGCAGACTATAATTGAAACCTGTGATATTAATTAACACCTAACATATGTCACTGATGATAATAATGATATTATAATATTGTTTTATATGGATTCTATTTATGGATATATATGTATGTATAAAATAAATCATATATATGCTATCTAGTATATTTTTAGTAGGGCATGCAAATTTAAAATATATACAAATATTGAATATATAAAAGTAGAATTAATGTATACAGAAGTATACATATAGGGTTGGGCATGGATACACACATACATACACACACGTAATAGAATGAATATATGTGTATAGTTATCTTTCAGTATCCATTGGTTTCAAGACCCCAATGCATACCAAAATCTATGGATATTCAAGTTTCTTAGATAAAATGATATAGATTTGCATATAATCTATGCACAACCTCCTGTATAATTTAATTCATTTTTGGATTTCTTATAATACGTAATACAATGTAAATGCCATGTAAATAGTTACACTATATTTTACTAGGGAATAATGACAAGGATAAAAGTGGATACATGTTCAATTCATAAGCCATGATTTTCAAATGTTTCCTGTCCCTAGTTTTTTGAATCCTCAAATGCAAAACTCAAGGATAAAAAGAACCTACTATATATAATATATGAATGGATAAAATAATATACACTTGTATG